TTTCATTAGCCTTTTAGGTGACTTCAGGCCTCACAGAAAAGAAGAAATATCAAAGGAAAAAAAGTTGAGAGGAGGGGGGGGGGGTTAAACAGAAGAATGTTTTAAAGATGTAAAAGAGGCAGGCACAAAGGTAGAAAAAGGTGAGGTGAGCACTGTGGAAGTATTCGAATATGGCATACAGTGGGGTGATGGTAGTTAGAAGCCAGAAGTCAACTGCCGGTTAATAGACTTTTTTGCCGCACGAGTATACGTTGCCCAGGGTGTACCACGTGGAGGTAAGTCTTTCGTGCATCCCATAATAAAAGATTTTGTACCTTTGTGGTGCTAAGAAATGAAGCCAATGGAGTTCATTTTTTTGCGCAGGTGGATACTTAACTTTTAAAGTGGATTGCTGCACCAATAAGCTTCGCTAATACGCACATTCTCCTAAGTTTAGAAAGACTATCATAGCTAGATAAGCTATAGAGGAAAGAGATATAACACGTAGAACACGTCTATTTGGGATACATATGCACATATATACATTATGTGTGTACAGAAAAGAAGCATAGTCATTATTATTAATATAGCGGGTTCGAAAAACCAAGCAAGGACTAATGATTGGCGGTTGGCTGGGCGATCTCCGCGATTTCTCCCTACGCGCGGTTTCACGTCCGCTCATTCAAGCCTGTCTGAGCGCGCATGAGATTACTTTGTTCATCGCTGACAACACTGTGTACCCCACATTCTATTGATTAGAATCACAATTAAACAGCCATTCACTACTCCTGAATAAAATCGATCTTAGTTAAAGTATCGACAAATCTGAAGATTGCACGACGTCTCAATTCTTCCTATTTTAGATCTGAGTGGTATGGATCATAGTGTGATCCAAAAGGATATACAGTAAGATTCATGGGTTAGCGATATTCCTTAATAATACGCGAATTTGATTAATGTCTACCGAATATTAGCTAAATACAGGCCGCTCTATTTTTTCAAGGATTAGGAAATTTTCAGTACTCCATTTTGCAACATCAAGCCAATCGGATTGCAGCTGGAATAAGTACTTTTTTTGCAAACTACGTGATAGCGGGACTACGAGTGAAATTAAATAGCATTTTTTAAAACTAGCGTTCGGTAAAACAATCCACTATGTATAATAAATACGTAAGATTCGATGTAACTGTTTTAATCCTAAGTGGTAATTGGAGACAATTCTCTCTAGTTACTAAGTATCATTTGCTTGTCTTAATTAGTAAAACTTAAAGTGAATAGTTAGATAAATTATTATGTATATTAATTGCCCAAAAATTTAGTATTGCGGAGAGTAATCTCCACCTAAGGGAAATTGTGATTAATGGGTTTTCTTTTAAATATTGTCAGAAAACCCTGGAGTAGGAAATTGCTTCTTTTATTATGCAAGGTGGTTTTGTAATAAGTATTTAGATTTACCCTTCATAAAACTTGTTCGTCTTGTTTCGCGACTATATGGAAGTTATATATCACCATCTTCTTGGAATTAACTATTAAGTAAAGAAGCCATATTATATATTTTTTATTATGGTTAATGCTGCTTTGCTAAGAACTGCCGAAAATTAAACTTCGGTAAAAAGTTTTTTTAATAAATATCGAAGTGAGGTAGGTTTAAAATCCGCTGTCCTGATCCCGGGGGGGGGGTACAATTAGGCTCGACACCAAGCAAATTGAGGAAAAAATGTAAAGAATTTTCCACAACAAGATTTGCCTCAGCAAAAACAGAAACCCTCAAGGAGTGAAGCGAAGGTATAGAGATTGAGTTGAATTGCCCACATATGTGTATGGCATGAAAAAGCTATACAATTAGTGGTCTACAAAGTCACAATGTGCTTATGACGGTGATGGCGAGGAGTAAAACCATGAGCTTGTAGTCAACTGGGGTGGATGTGGGGGGGGGGGGGGAATGAATAAAGTTTTGAAGATGAAAAATGAGAGTAATAGTTGCATTAAGCTGTTACAAATAAGAGGTATTCAAGTAAAACGTGTTCAAAGTCAGATGCCGAATATAGTAGTTAGAAGTAGCCATCCTAAGAAAGAGGGTATTTGTAGACTTACTATGTTTCGTACCCCCCCCCCCATTTCCCTTCATATCCCAATTCAAATTTTATACAATTAAATTACCCAGTCGAAGGTTGTTTAAATTGTACTTGTTATTAGTTTGAAGCGCTTTTAAGTTTCCATTCATATCAAAATGGCTGGCTTTATGCTTTTGAACAGTTTTTGATTGCAACGTTCTTCCAGAGTCTTTGAGATCGCAAACTGGTATTAATATTAAAAGAAAAGTGCTGAAGAAACAGTGTTGAAATATTTTGTCAAATACTAACCGATACAAATGTTGACGAATTCATACTTGGAACTTTGACGCCTGTAGCACAAAAAAGGTTAAATCAGTTGAGTTTGAATTCAGTATTTATCTCTGAAATCTAAGTCATCAATTATTCTAAGGGTGCTCCCTCAAACACTCATCCCTACTTAAAGATTGTAAGGAGTTAAAGGTCCCTGACCGAGATCTAGTGCGTGGACAAAGTCTCATTCCATGGACACTTATTTGCACAGCATAATACATTTCGTAATTTTTGGGAATTCAAAAAATACAAAGATGATTCGTTACCACAATGATGTACACATCAACGTCTTTTGTAATTATGAAATTTTGATAAATTATGCAGGCAACCTCGGAAGATTTCAATATTTTTAGACTTTAGTTTATGAAGATGGCGATAATTTTTGACCTTGAACATATTTTTAACCTGTTTGAACATATCATACAATTTTAATTTTAAGGAATAATGTTCTTGGGTGTACAATAACTCGACTATTACAGATTCTCTTCAGGCGTTACCATGTCTAGCTAACATATCCTAACGACCTATTGAAGACAATAGATATTCATAATCTTTGATTTCCTCATAGGTGCTTCTCCAATAACTGACTATCATAATTAGGAAGTTCATCAGGAAAAAAGTATTCTCAACGGCCTGCTTTGACAGCGAAATAGATACCGCAGACCTCCTCGATAAGCCAACATTCTACCGCAAATGTCGCTTCTACGGTGATTGTGACGAATGGTGACTCAAATCTATGGTTTCAAATCAGGATACACGAGAAAGTTGTTGATGGAATCTCATCAAGCGAAGGGAACTAGGTAATTGAATTGATTGATAAAATTGGGGGTTAAGTATTCAAACCCCGACAGCAACTTTTTTAATCATTTTCATGCAATGATACCTCTCATCATTATTTATTCTAATTCCCCTTCAATAAAAGATTACATTAGCGCCATAGTGCCGGTATGACCAAAGATCCGCTTTTGTTAATGTCGAAATAATGAGGTAAATTAACGTGAATTGAAAGGGACACCATTGGGGGATTGTTCGTAATGAAAATAAGTAATTTCTGGTGATTGTTCATGAAAAATAGACGTACATTTCTTGAACTCAAATCGTGCTTGCAGTCCCCTATATTCCGTAGACATTTGAGATATTAAACCTTAGTTGAGTGGAGTTCACAAGGACTGGTGAGTTTGAATCTCATAAAATTACATACACATTCCAAGAACATACATTTAAGTTTTGCCTAAACTTGATTATTTGCTCATACATTTACTCACACAGCAAAAATTTCTATAAAACGGTAGTTGACTCCCCAGCCCCCCCCCCACTGTATGCCATATTCCACCACTTTCACAGTACTCACCCAACCTTTTTTTCTCTAACCCTGTGTCTGTCTCCTTTACATCTGTGAAACACTTTTCTGTTCGCCCTCTAGACTTTCAGTGACTTTTTTGTCCCACCCCCTCCCCCTCCCCCTCTGTGAAGCCCGAAGTCAACCAAAGGGTTAATGATAACTACCATAGGGGTGCGATTTGCTATGAAAGAATATGTGATTTTCTTCGTCCTCAAACCCAAATAGAGCATTTATAATGGCATAGGCTTCAGGATGACTTGGGCAGTTATTCAATCATCACAATTACAGAGCAGTAAGCTTATCAAGATATAGTGAGGCGAATTTCGAATCACAAATATTCCTCAAATACGAAGACCACAAGGAAATTCTTTTCAATATTAACACAAAGGATAGGCAAAAGTTCTTTTAACCATAAATTTATTATGCAGTTAAAACTGACACAAACATGGATGAAAGTGCATACATTATTATTGTTAGCAAATGAAACAGCGCGTAATATATTTGGTGTCGCTGAATCGATAGGTATCTTTTCACATGGTAATAGCAGTGATAATAACAAACACAATGGCAGTTAAAACTGAAAACAATGGCGGTAGTTCTAGTGAGGGTGAACAGAGCGTGAATGTGCAGAGTAGTAGGCAAAATCAATATTAATCAAGGAATCAGTTAGCGATCCATGAAACACGAAACAAAGAATAAATTTGGGGGGGGGGGGGGGGAGTTTGGGGAAGAAAAGTCGGTGGATTAAAATATTGTGGACAGGTATGGCATGGTGTGTCTTAATACTGATAAAGCAAGCAGAAGACGTCAAAAGCATTTGTGCGCCAAAAGTGAGTGAGAGTTCGGGCAGATCTATTTAAATATCAGGATTGAATCCACGACCATGACGAGGGCCAGGAAGGGTGACGAAATCCAGATGATTAGGTCCGACACTGAAAGAAGTGTCTTCGTCATCTTCTATACCATCACCGTCTGCTTCAATATCCTGATGGTGACGTGGAGTATCACCTGGGATGCGTTCCATATGTTGGGACAGTTCGCTTTCATCAAAATCATCTACCTCTTCCAAAACAGCTGCGGCGATTCCTTCATCTGCGTCACCGTCGTCTTCCTCAAAGAGGCCATTGAAAGAGCGAGTCTCTGCGTCGAATTGGTCATCACGAGCACCATAAGGGACATGGACACCAGGAATTCCTTCTGAGAGAATTGGGGTTGGTGTAGTAATCGGGGGTTGCCAGCTCAGCTTTCCACCCTTCAATAAAGGAACACATTAGGTATAGGGGAAATGGAAAAGGCTCGTAAGGAAAGGTATGAACATTCTTTACACATATTACGGGGCACATTTGTGGTGGTGGATTGAATTTCCGATTCCATATTTATCCCATACATTTCTACCATTTTGCCTATCTTTGCGATGCAACAACCATGAGGGAGTATTTCACATATTTTAGCCTTAGTGTGAATAATAAATTTTGCTTAAAACACCACCGAGTCCCTGGCAAGCAAGCATAACGACGACAGAAATAAATCCGTATGCAATATCAAATTTCGGAGTGATATTATACATGTTACATACCAGGCCATAATTATAACGTTTAAAACTCTTGCTAAAATCGTATAAATTAAAGAATATGAAAGTGTGAACCTACGCATTACTATGATTATTGGATTAAGCTATCATCAGATTTGATATGCGAATAGAAAGGGCATTTAAAACAATGTTAGTAGAACCAATTCAAAATATGGTTATTATAAATCTTTAAAAGCCATAACATTAGAATCATCCGCATATATATATATATATATATATATATATATAAAGTGTGTTGTGTGTCGGTGTTAGCCTGCAATGGCGGAAGGAACTGGATCGATTCCCACCAGCGCGCATTTAGTTAGATGATTGGCTGATGACATCAATTTGAGTTAGCTAGTTTAGAGGGGAGTAGAATTCGAGCCTCTCCCCAGTAGAGCCCTACATTGTCACTCTTTATTCAAGATTATCTTTGAATGACAATTTCATAAATGGAATCGTGAAGTATTATAAAATGGCAAGCCATGAATGTACTACTAATTAATTATAGTAAACGACTACCAACTGGCTTTTTTCTGTATCTGTTTAGGCGATATCTCCTCTGCAAATCTGCAACTGGACTGAAATCCAACGCAGAAAAAGGAATAAATGTTTAATAATATGGCCTGAAATAAAATTTGATGAACATTCAAATCATTATACTAAATGGAAAATGTCGAAAGAATCCACGCGAAGTTCTGTTCTCTTTAACGCTATAACCTCCTCCTTCTCCTCCTCCCAACATGTTCCTAGGTAGACGATTTTTGCTGTCAAGGGTGAAGTGATCTGCCTCTATTCTTCTCAAAGGCAGTTTTCTCACTGATAAGTGTACATCACAACTCCATCACAATTTGATTTCATCTTAAGAACTCTCAAATTCACACATCTCAAGAGGTTGTATGTGCGTCAGGCAAAGAAGAAGCGCGCAGACAAACCCCACAATGATTCAGCCATCAAAGAACTTGAATTAAACACCAAAAAAGGAACTAAATCTTTCTCTACAATTACTGAACGTCATGTTACAATGAATTTCATGAATTGATAATGAGACACAGCAAAAAAGCACACCACACACACACGCACAAAATGTACGTTCAAAGAGGTGCACAATGTGAACCGATGAATCATGCTAATTTGGGTGGTATGACCTGGATTTCTCTTTCTTGTCTGAACACAGAGAACTAGGCGAGACTGGTTCGTTCAACCACACATACACACACCACATTTCCTTTTGACGTCCGTTATTCCATTTATAGGTCATCTTGGCGCTCCGTTGGAAAAATATTCTTGTATAAATATTAGACATAGCAATGGATTGGGGAACAAAGATTTGGGAGAATTTTCTAATTGGGAATGTGATTTTAAATATATAATCTCTCATGGGTGGAGCTAGATGAAAGATAATTTCTTGACGTTTAGGGCTTCATGTTGACTTCTTAAATTCTCTGTTGCGTTCTGTTGTATTGATCGCAGAGTTTAACAAATAAATCTTATTTGACAACCAGTTCCGCAATCTAGCAAGAAAGTACAATGTTCAGTTAAAAAAATGTGTATTTCCTAAGATGAAGTACCAGAATAACTCGAAAACATTTGAGAAACAGATTTTTTCCCTACCCACTCTGGGCAGACCATTAAGGTAAGACAAACACGATTCAAGATGTAATACATTCTAGTTCCGTTTAGTCGAGTCCTAGAGGACATGCGGGTACCCTGAAGGTTTCATTTTAAATAAGTACAATTCTGCAACTCCTTTCCCTATTGATCCACCCAAACCAGTATGATTGGCTTTATGGTTTGTGGGAAAAGTGCATATTGATATCGAACCAATGATTGGATAGACTTACACATCGATAATCACCCCACTTAATCTATATTCCCTTACTTCTATAATGACGAAATAATTGAGTTCTGCTCAAATGACCGCACACACTTAAAAAGCTCCAAAACGGATCCCAATTATGGTCAAATTGTAGGCATTAATTGAGTGTCTTTAATTGTTGAATGCTTATTAGAGACACCACCTTACTGAAAACTACTTATTGGCCTATGTTACAAACGAACAATTCATGCGTTTTTGAAGCGAATCGTGGTAAATTCTTACCTCCATTTGTTCAATCGGGTTCTCAATAACATTGAGTCGAGCTTCGGGACGGTATTGGAAATGCCCGGGTGCTTTGCTTCCACCTCGGCGGAAGAAGCGCAACTTGCCTCGACGGAAACCATTGGATTTCGAAATGAAGAATGCTATCACCATCGCCATAACTGCGAAACAGGCAACTCCTGAACCGATAGCCAAACCGAACGTATTAATTTTGCCTCCTTCAGCTTTCTAGAATTGCAATAATATATTATTAATTACTTATTACTGTTCAATAATATGATCTGCTTGCAGATGATATTATTGAATCTAAATTGATTTTTCATTTTATCATTATTATTTATGAACTGGGGATGTTGATGTTAATCGGGGAATTTGAAATTAAATAGATGAAAAAGAGGGTTTCTATCACTTTAAACTAAGTAAATATGAGATGAGCGATAGACGTACCTCCACGCGGAACACCTTGGGCGTCATATACTCATACGGTATAAAAGTCTATAAACTAGCAGTAAACTTCTGACTTCAAAGTAACATGACCCCACTGTATGTCCTATTCGACGACCTCCACAGTACTCACCCCACATCTGTGAATCACTCTTCTGTTCCCCTCTGGGCTTTTACTCACCTTGATGTTCCTCCCCTCTGTGAAGCCCGAAGTCACCTAAAGGACTAATGATAACAATAATAACGCCTGCCATTTGAAATGAATATTATTGAGAATTATTATCTCTTATTTGCCTAATTTGTCGCGGAAGAGAATTGTAAGCTTCACTAAAGTAGTCTGCACAGGAACTTGGATAATTAACATGTGCTGTGAGTATTTCCAAAGCAAAATAGAAGTGGTGTTACCCGTCTGCTGTCGCCTCTCACAGATCAACTCAGGCAGGTGCGTTGAAAGGAGTTGCAAATCGTGACGTATGCTAAGTTTACCCTAATCGCCCTCTAAAGTGTCACACGTCAAACAAAATGTCTCATCTTGAATAAGTCATACATCGATTAGTGGCATTAATTAATGATAAATTTACAGAGTCAAGGCGTGGTTTAAGAGCTTAAATTAGTCTAGAATGCTTTGAGGGAGGTTAGCCGTATACAAACAAATGCGGCTTGCTTTAATGGCATAAGGAATGTGTTTATTAATGGGGGAAAATATTTGATATTTTGTAGGCGACGCATAATACTCCTTATAGCGGAAAGGAATGTTAGCCTAAAGGCCCTACTTTTTTAGTCGCTTTAAAATGAATAAGCATTTTGCATTGCTTACCAATAGCCACAATTTTAGCCCCGTAATAAATTCCATTCCCGAACAATAATGCAACATTATTGAATGAGGATGTACTTGAAACCACTAAGGTCAAGTAGACGTCAATCTTTATTTGGGAATCACTAGCAAAATATGCGTGAGGACAAATTTTATAGAATATATACAAACGCTTTAGCTGGCTGGACTAGCTGGCACCAGATCCTTTCGCCTATGCAAATGTATTGGTTGCTTTCAACATTTTGGCAATAGTTCATATAATTAAAGGGCTACTTTGTGAATTGTCGGGTAATTCCAAGTGACAGTAGACAACATATGCTGTTGGAAGTTACTATCATGGGGCTTAGATGCTCTCTCTCTCTTTTATGAAGGACAAACACTTCGAAGAGATACGCAAAGCGGAATGACTACCCTCCTGATGTTTGTGCAGATCGGAATAGTTAAATGTCATTTTCTCATCCTGAAAGATGGGAAACAACACTGAGTTTTACGTTGATCTACAATTTAATATTATGGACAATAATGACAATTTAGTCTCCCAGAAAATTGGAGGCTAAATTTTCTTTGCACAAAAAACTTTAATAACTGCATGGGGATTTGTAGAATTGGTAGTGCCTACACAACAGTTCAAATAAATGGTCTTGAAATTTCTCTATAGTTGTTACCTTATAATAGAGTAAAGTGTGCAAAACTCGCTGAGATATTTAAGAATGATATTAGGGCCCTACCTTCAATTGGTCCTTCTCATGGAGACCAAGAGCACCAACTGGGCGCACCTCCTTGTCAGAGTGAGCGAATTGAGCTCCGCCTTCCCAACCACGCAACGATGGGTCTTCTCCGTAGGTCACTAGAAGGTGTAGAGAAGTGCGTTAACTCATTTCAGTACCCCCTCCCCCTCCCCAACAGCAGAAAAAATTTTTATTTTAAATTATTAGATTTCATCTATTTGTAGTTCACCGTGAAACAAATCAATTAAGTGTTTGAATTGCACTATTGTAGGAAATAGGAAATTCGGGACTCACTCACAATTCATTTTTATCGCTCTACTATTAATTGAAGGGCGAAAAGGGCGCTGATTATGATTCTTCACACTTGATTGTGCTATAATTTGATGTATTTTTCCAAAGGAGATATTTAAAGAATTTGAAACTAACCATTGCGGATAAGGATGTGAATAACCTTTCCTTTAATGGAGAACAATAGGTCCAAAAATGGATTGACTCAAATGAAGTTTAATTGACTCAAAATAATGAGGAAGTTCTATTTAAGCAACTCTACAACCCGCAATAATCAAAATTCACTATTTTCAACTTACCACCACGTGGTGCTCCCCGGGTAGCGAATACTCATACGACAAAAAAGTCTATAAACCGACAGACTTCTGATTTCAAACTACTATGACCATTTTCACAGTACTAACCGTACCTTTTTCTCTTCCTTTGTGTGTGTTTCTTACATCTGTGAATCACTCTTCTGTTTCCCTTTCGACCTTTCTCACTTTGATGCCACCTCCCCCTCTGTGAAGCCAGAAGTCAGCTAGGGGGGCTAATTATAAATACCAGAAAGCAAGCCATTTGATCTAAGTAAATAAATATCGTCGACGCAACGGTGAATGTGCTTTCATACAAGGATTCGGTACTCAGACTTCAGTTAACCGTGGCCATTTTATAGAAGTCTCATTTGAAGAGTAAGTTTGATTGGTTGTGGGCGGGACCCGATAGGTGACGCATTAAATCCACTTTATATTTGATTTTAAGTTTTCAAAATGATACTTTGAAAATTTTGATGTCAATCAAATTTACTTGACAAAAAATTTTGTAGCATCACATGTAAAAAAATTTGGTCTCACGCATCTAATACTGAATACTCAGAACTTACTGACATATGGAGGCCACTGAACATATCCAACGCCTGAGGTATCACCACCAGTAAAAGGATCATCAACTTCGGAAAATTCATCATCATCATCCTCATCGTCATCCTCATCCTCATCGGATTGTCGAACAGCTCCGAGCAGAGGATTGCTGCGGGAGTTGTCTGAGTAGACGACATTTTTGTTCAATGTGGTCTCCTTGGCGATTATTGGTGAACTCAGAAGAATCTACCGAAGAGTTGAAGAAAAACCATTTACAAAATAGAGAAAATTGAGATCAATGCTGCATAAATAAAAATCGTAGAGAGGATATTTTTCTTTCAATTTAAAGGCCAATATGAATGGTTCATTGTATAGGTTTTAATAACTCAATGAAAGTTAGATGGAAAGGTTAGGTGAACCGGCATATTGAAGGGTAAAAAGTTCGCAGCGATTAAATAAACTATTTCAGAAGTGGTGATTTGTCCTCAATTGTCTGAAGAATTAAGATTCACAGACCTGGAATTTTAGCAGGTCTGTGAGAATGCCTTTCAATCAATCAATTGTTACATTAAATGTCAATTTCTCTAAAGTGTTTTATTTACCTTCTCATTATTATTTGCACAAGAATAACATGAAGTTGTCACACACAATCCTCAACTAGAAAAGTGAGCTTTAATTTGGTCATCATGAGCGCGCGCGAAGTATCGAATACATCAATTGGAAGTGGTCCGTGTTCCATATGACATCCGAGGTAGATTTACTTCTTATCTGCCTACATGTTGGTGTTAGATGAGAGATGATGGAGGAGAGGTATGCGCTTTAGACCTAAAAATTGGTATTTAGGCGATGATTTCTACACTTAATTCATTTAAAATTTCTCACCAAACACTTGATTGAAGATTGGGTGAGTCTCCACGCCACTTATTGTGCGAACACTGAAGAGATGTATGTTCACTTTATCGCAATCAATCTTACCTCACTTATTTGTTAATTGGAAATAAGATTTTTGTCCCCATGTTAGGGACGTTAAGAAAAAGTAGTTTGGTCAAACTTTTGTCGTTAATAGGTTTGCGAAGAGCTCCCCATAAATTTAATTTCTTTATTTCGATATAAATAAAGCGCAAAACCTCTCAGAAAAGAGGATGTAGATAGTGACCTTGATCCAAAAACCAGATATCAAGCAACAACCCCCCTCACCCACCTCAAAATACACGAAATAAAGTGAAATGATAATGCTGAATAGGAGCTTGCCTGAACAGTGAATGGATCCGTATTTACTCCGGCATCATTATATGAACAGATAAGTTGAAATTTGCGTTCAAGAAGTAGGCCAGATGCAAGACCTTGGTCATTCACGCGTTTTTCAATTTCAATTGGTGGCCAATAGCTAAATCCATGCAGAAGACTGGCGTATTGACTGGCAGTTTGACGACCTTTCATTAGAACACCCATTTGGGTGGGTTCAACAGTGACACCGAGTTCGAAAGCACGACCAGCTGGCCAAACGATGCGTTCACCGTCGTTAAAGTCTAGACCACTTCCATTAACAGGCAAGACGAGACATTGATCAATGACAAACATCGAGGCTGAACGCACCACGGACTTGATGTGGGCTGCAATGTGAAAAAACGAAGCACAAGGGCTTTAGTTAGCTAAGCATATTTCTATCCTAGTAAGATCCAATTGATTTAAAAACTCCATAAATAAGTTTGCAGTATATTCCAAAATCATGGAACAACGTACACTCATACGGGAGTTGACTTCTGTCTTCTAACTACCATGTGCCTACTCTATGCAATATTCTACTACTTCCACAGTACTAACCTTACCTTTTTCTACCTTTGTATCTTCCTCCTTTACATTTGTGAATCATTCTTCTGTCCCCTCCCCTATACTTTTTGTGAATTTGATGTTCCTCCTCCCCCCTGTGAAGCCCAAAGTCAACTAAAGGGCTAATGATAACTACCATAAAGCCAGCCATTTGATATAAATAAATAATGCCAACAGCATTAAAAATTACCCGGTCACATCTTTTAAAATTAGTGTTTACTTAATTTTTTTTTTAAATGTCGTATACATGTGTTAATTTAAGAAAATGGAATTAAAAGTTTCTTTGGATGATGCATGCTAATCAACTTAACTAGTTGAAAGCCAATAAGGAAGTAACATACTTGGCCCTGACAAAATGTATCAAGGTAATAGAAAAACAGACACCACAAAAATGTCTGAAACTAAATAAAGGTTCAAGGTAAGTGCAAACGCCATTCTATAACTTTAATTTAATGAATAAATATTTTCAAAATTTTCTTTGTCTCAAAGTTTAGTTGATAGATGTCGGTAGAATGTGGAGATGGATTGAACAGGAGTATTCAACGCCTTCTTTTTAGCAAACTTCACAGTTTATTTAAATCGATGCAGTTCATAATTTGTAATTTTCTATTTCCAGTTCGCCAGTATATATATCAATATTCCTCTGATGGGTAGGGAAGCTATCGAAATTGATTTCGATGAAAGACGCGCTTATCAGAATACTAGCTTAGCAACCATGGAAATAAAACAATACAACACTACAGTTGGCAGAGAGGTGAAATACATATTCTGGTCTTTAACGGTGACAGAGTTAACAACAATAACCTTCACTATTTCCCAATAAAAGAGGAAATATGTTTAACTCAAAGGCAGTTAGCGCAATCGCAAACAAAACGCAGGCCAGAATTGTGATCTAAATTAATGATTATTTGCAGTCAATAGGCTATAGTTCAATTATTTAATAAATGAAGAATTCATAGGACTGTAAGCGTAAGAGAATTTCTTGGGTAAAAGTAATACGTAAGACGTATGAACTCACCTCAACACCGAATCTGTAAGAGGACAAGTTCACATTTTGTATGGGTGCAACGAGCGTTCTTTCGCGTATTTACAACGAAACACTGTTTTCTGAAATGAGACTACCAAGGTGTACTGATTAACCAGATCGGCAGATAGGCTGGTTAACATCGTGTCGTGGTAGGCGGAGGTTTCATGGCGTCTTTTGCAACTATCATTGTATCGATGAGCATAACATACGATTCTAATGCGGTGGAAACTAGTTCGATGGTACTTACATTTGAAATATTTCTATTGGCCAACGTTCGAAACAATTAGTGAAAGTGTGTAAATACTTCTTTCAAATTACGGATGGAGCTTATTCGGGCTGGACTCTATTCTCCAATAAACCTAAGTTGATTCAGTACATTTACTGGAATCTGGAAGCCATGGATTCATCGTTTTTTCTGAGTGATAACTATCAGATATTCTCATTTAATTATTGTAGATTTGTTCAAATTATTAGTTGGCGAGGGGAAGATAAAATATTCATTTTAAATTGGCCCCACCGAGGATTTTTAACTTCGATCAATTCCTGTGTGCATTTCTTTCGTTAATCGGACTAATTTTAACTAATTGAAATTGAAGTAGTTTGTGTTT